AAAGCCTAACACGGGCTGCGAAGAGGCCCTCCTGCGTCCCGCGGAGCGCCAGCTCAGCTGAGTTGTCATCAGTCCACCGTCCTTCCCTCTTCCGCTCCCTCTACCGCGTTCTCCCGCGTACTGCGCCGCCCGAAGGGCACCCGACACGAACCTGCTTCTCCTCGCGCTTCGCGAGACGTTCCGCGGCCCGGTCTCGACCTCCTAGGGCTCTCGACCGTCTCCTTCTTCCGTCCTTACCGGTCGGTTGAGTGCATCATTCTGGTGACCACCGCAGGGGGTGTGTGTACAAGTTTCACTTGTCGGCTTCCTCCTTCGACGGCGATAGCGCCGTCTCAGCAGCAATTCATCGCGGATCGCGTTCTGCGTCTCGACAAAACGACACACTCTCAAGCGCCCTACTTCCCGAGCAAATCCGCGCCTTTGCAAAAAGGCTTCCGCGCTCCCTCAGCGAAGATCAGATCGACGCGCTCCTTCGCGCAGCTCTAGCCATCCTTGATACGGGCACCGCAATACTCCTGAACGAGCCTGCCGTCCTTCGCGCCTCCACCGCAGCTAGGATCCGCTCGGAAGCACTCGCGGTTATCGCAACTGCCCCCCTACCCGAGTGGGCCTCCAACGCGACCCTCACAAATGACGACGAGTTGAACCTTACCTTCTCCCAACAACAAGACTTCGTGGACCAGCTTCTACGAGGTGTATCGCGGCTGAGGAACCAACTGGTGCTTGACCTAGTACCCTCGCTAGTAGACCCGCTCTTCGCGCTACTCGCGAAAAGTATCCAAGCACTCGAAACCGACCCTTCCGCGACCCATTGGCTACAGGACACCGCGAACACCGTTGTCCACCGCGCGATCCTCTCATCACAGCCTATCCTCTCCAAACCACTTGCGGAAGGTGCAGAGGAGTCCTTCCTCAACTACGCCACACCATACGGTAGCCCGCAATCCGCGGTCTTGAACCTCACTCCGCTAGAACCATCATCCTCAGACAGCAACGCGACACACCAAACTCCTAGCGCCTCCTCTCACTCGCGCGATCACTCCACTGTGTCCTCTATGGCGGAACAGAACAACTTCGCAATGCGCCGCTCGATGCCAGCGCGTGGGCACGCGACCGCACCCACCTTTGACTCTAGCGAGCCGCGGAACCTCCGCCGGTTCTTCCAGGACCTCGAGACACTTTTCGAGATCACGGGCGTAACGGACCCAAAGCAGCAGAAGAAATGGGTCACGCGGTACGTGCCGATCAAGGAGGCGGAGTTCTACGAGGAGATGGTGGAATTCAAGGATGAGACGAAGTCCTTCGAGGAGTTCCGCTCCGCAATCTACGCAGCGCACCCTGGGGCCAGCGAAACGCGGAAGTTCTCTAACGCGGAAGTTGACCAGTTGGTGGAGAGCCGTAGTAGGGCGCCGATCACAACCAGCAGCGAGCTTGGCGAGTTCTATAGGCCGTTCTATGCGATGACGTCCTACCTGATCCAGCAAAACAAGATGTCCGCGTTCGAACAGTCAAGACTGTTCGTACGAGGACTCTGCAACCCGCTCCGCGACCAGGTCTCACAGCGACTGCAACTCAAGGACCCTGACCACCACCTGGACGAGGCCTACGAGCTGGCCAAAGTCTACGAAGCGGCGAAGTTCATTCTGCACGGAACGACGGCCGCGTCGTATCAGGTGACGCCAGCCGTTCCCCAGACCGCGGTGCCTGCGGAAAATACGAGCATTAAGGTGGAGGACCTCGCACCGCTCTTTCGCCTCCTCGCGCAAGGTGGCAACAACGCAAACGCCGCCGCGACTGCGAACCGCTTTCTAGGGCCCCCGAACGCCGGTGCACGCCCCGCGCCTAACTATCAAGGCATGATGCAAGGGGCACAAGGCTTTCAGCAGGGAGGGAACGGTTTCGCGACGAACGCGCTGCCCAACGGCTTCTGTCACTTCTGCGGGGACGCGAACCACATGCTGCGGAACTGCCCAGCTGCGGAAACCGATATCCGCGAAGGGAAGTGTTCGCGAAACCCGGAAGGTCTAATTGTGCTTCCCACTGGCCAATTCCTTCCGCGGCAGCTCCCTGGATTCGATGGTTTGACTATGCGCGATCGGCTCTATGAATGGCATCGGCGAGAGCGTGTTCGCCAAGGCCAGAACCCCGCGCCGGCGGCACCGGCGGCCCAAATGGTGTTTGCGATCGCGGAGGACGTGGAACCGTGGGCTAGCAGCTTCCAGTTCACAGCGGAGGATCGTATCCAGCAGTTGGAGCA